GACATTGACAGTCCGATCGTGAACAAAATGCCAATCTATGTTTGTAACAATAGAATGCTGATTTTGAACTAAAGGCTATCAAAGTTCAATCTTTAAGACAATATTAGCTCCTTGTCTTGCGAGGAATTACTGTGGCTGACTTTTTGATGTCCCTTTTGTTGTACCTCTTAATCTTATCTTCATTTTATACAATGTTGGGGAAAAGTCTATAATTATCGCTATATATTGTGTATAGTGCCTTGCAACTTCTACTAAATGTCTTTGATTACTTTTCCCAAAACAGTAGTGAATATAAAATTCCAAGTTGGTATAATTTTATTATCAATTTGTATGGCGTGATTTTATGAACAGACATGGAGTTGACCATAGACCTTAGCAATTTGCGATAATGGTCAAGTCTATTTCTGTTGACCTGTCTTTAAGAAGTATAATTTGATTAGCCCAAAGAATTCCAAGTCTAATTATACTTCTTAAAGACCGACCAACAACAACAAAAAAGACTTCTCAAACTTCACTAAATTAAACCATAACAAAACCTTTTATTTCACTAAACATATTCGAGAAATGATGAATATAAAGATTACAAAATCAAATAAATTCAATACAAATGTATGATATGATATATATATTGTCAAGATAAAAAAATCTATCATCCGACTCTCTTGAATATGAACCCTCCAAACTCTTACACAATTACTATGAAACAATCCTGAATTGATCACCTTCTATAAGAATTGTTCAAGGATTTAGAAGAACCAGCAAAGAGATCCAACAAGAGTCTCTCAAGATCATCCGTAGTGTATTTTATATACCTCTCACTCACACTGTTCTTGTGTCTACTGTAAAATGTCCAGTACGCTTGAATCACCCACATCGATGCCTTTGTCCTCACATCTTCTCTCAGGCTCTCATCCGAAATCAGCCACCCGGTTTGAGCCTTGTAAACTTCCTCAAACGCAGCGTTGAATCCTTGAAATCGCTCCCTCGGGCGTAAATTTTTT